ATAAATAAAATATTTTAAAAAATTATCCTTTGTTTTCATAAAATTTTGAGTCTGAGAGAAAGTATTACTTGATAATCCATTTAAGCATAGTTTGCATGACAGGGATCTCATTTCATGTTTTTCAAATTATTCTAAAGATTTTTCCTTCTCCAAATAATTTGAAATACCTTTTATCACAAACCAAATCTTCCTATTTTTGTGTTTCTGTGCATGTATGTTTTCCTTAGCCTCAAGATAAAGAGCACTGTTGTGGGGTGTGTATAGAGAGGATAAAAGATGTTTCTACTTTCAGCAAGTTATGTAGGAAAAGCTCAGTAATTTGAGGTAGAAACCAGGCCAATGAGGGAAGGATATACATATATATTAAGCCAAAAAATTCAGGTACTTTATGGTATAAAGAAAATAACTGTTGGGGGCTAGAGAAATGGCTCAGCAAGGTTAAGAGCACTGGCTGCTCTTGCAGAGGATCTGAGTTTGGTGCCCAGCACCCACATGGCAGCTAACTACTGTCTCTAACTCCAGTTCCAGAGGATCTGACACCCTCTTCTGACCTCTGAGGGTATTGCACACACACGGTACACTTACATACATGCAGGTAAAACACTCATTAAAATAAATAAAAATAGAAAAAAAAGAATTTAGATTTTCATATCACAGAATTGGGAAAACTGCTTAACTGAGCTGTTTCTGGCCTTCTTAAATCTTTTTCCTGACACGGGAAGGGCCTTCCCATTGGCATTTCAATCTAGGCAAATACAGCTGGAGAACACTTCATGGGGCAGGGAATATTGCTTAACACTTCTCCCATCTAGCCAGCTAGTTAGACTAGTTCCAGTAAGTGTACTGGTGATCTGAGAGGTACAAAGCCATAAGTGCATCCACATAGAGACACCATTTTCAGGCATTCTGCTGCCTGGTAACATCTTGAAGTGCTCTTTAATGGGCTACAAAAGGTGAATTAGTTGTGTTGAGTCAGTATGGGGCCCTTCAACAGTTTGTGGCAGAGTCCCTGGCTTCTCTACAATTAACCCGATCATAGGAAATGGCCATGCCCCTTTTTTAAAAAAACATGAAAGCGGTAAAACTTACATTTAGTTTTATTTGCTATATGAAAAAAAAAAAAACTGGTCAGGAAGTGTGGCTCAGTAGTAGACAATCTGCTTAGCATATGGGAGGCCCTCTCAGATGAGGTAAGTAGCCCGAGACATGCTCCCACCACCACGATTTTCTGCCTCATCACTGGCAGAATGAGACCATATGAAACCATATCTCTTAGCATATGAGACCATCCTCATCAATGGGGAAACAAATAATTATATTATCAGCCAAGCATCAGAAATTAGGCAGTCTGATAGGTGGTATAGTGACCATCTTAGCACCTGTGGCCCCTGGCCTTTGCGCTATCACATGTATACTTTACTTTTTCCTCTCTCTTTCTCTCTCCTCTTTCTCATCTTGGCTCTTACTAACCTAGGAGTTGGACTTTTCACTTGGCTGAGTTTATTATTAGTGTCCTCTAACTAACCTCTCTTATTGTGTAGAAATGTGACTTGTTCTTATCAGTTTGTCTTGCTAGTTGTTCCCCTCCAGTGAGCCTGCATTCCACTGGAGTGCTGCTCACTCTCTTCACATTAACTCTTGAGGCCCTTTGTCCTCCCTCACCACATAGTTGCTGTGTGCCCAGCACTATGTGTGGTATGAGATACCCAGACAAATAGGATTCTCCCATCCAAGGGGCTCAGAAACTGGGACTGTGTTAAGTGAACATGCACTTTGTGGTTCAGGTACAGGGTTGGTCATTTGTTTCCATGATAGACACAGTCACTTAAGGGAGAAAGAAGTGTGTAATCTCAGCAGACTTATTCTAGAAAGGAAGATGAACTAGTACTTTCTGTAGGAAATGCAACTGGTTACGAGTTTTCACTGATGAATTCTACCAAAGGTTTTTAGGAAGGAGTGGGATCACAATTCATCTGGAGGCCAGCATCATCCTCATACCAAAACTAGATGTAGACATTGCAGTAAAGAAAAACTGTAGACCAACATCTTTCATAGATCTGTATACGAAAATACGTACAAATCCAACAGTGTATAAAAATTATACTCTTGGGGCCAGAGAGAGACCTGGGTTTGAGTCCCAGCACCCACATTGCAGCTAACAGCTGTCCATAACTCCAGTTCCAGGATGTCTGGCACCTTTTTGTCTTCTGCAGGGATTGCACAACATGGGTGCACTTATACACATACAGGCAATACACACATATACATAAAGTAAAAATAATAAAAATTTAAAAATTATACTCTTATTGTATTAGTCAGATTTTATATTGCTGTGACAAAATGCTTGACATAAACAACTTAAGAGAGGATTTATTTCAGGTCATTTCATTCTGCCAGTGGTGAGGCAGAAAATCGTGGTGATGGGAGCATGTCTCAGGCTACTTACCTCATAAAAGGAGTGAGGCAGGAACCAGGGAATCAGATGTAACCATCAAAGACATGCCCCTGATAACTTCCTCTAGCTAGGTCTCCACTCTTAAAGTTTCCATAATCTCCTCAAATAGCCTCCAGCTGAGGACCAAACAGAATATGTCAGCCCTTCAGACTGTAGCCTTGCACCCCTGACCTCCAAAGGCTCGTGGTTGTCTCATAATGCAAAATACATCGTTGCCAACATTATTCAAAGTCCCAAGTCCATTAGCATTCCGGTAATCTAGCATTCTAGAAGCTGAGGCAGGAAGATTGTGAGTTTCGGGGGTGGGCAGTCAGGCTGGGTTATGTAGAGAGACTCAGTTTCAATGCCCCCTACCCCCCTGCAACCCCTCCAAGTTCAAACTCTCTTCTGACACTTAAAGGAAACTCTTAATTGTGAGCCCCTCATGACAGACAGGTAGTTGCTGCTCTTCAGGTTGCATGAAAGAGTGGTAGCAGATCTAATGACATATAACTGCTGTCTAAGCCATGTTTTTGGAGTTACCTGGGCTCTGACCATAGGAATATTGGAACCCTGGTGGGACTGGGAACTGAAAGTGTTTTGTTTCCTGCAGGTGGTGGTTGGTGTTTTTCTGTATCTTCTATTCTATGGCAACTGACTGTTCTTTCTCTATAGGGGAAGCTGCCTACGAGGATCACAGTTCCACTGTCTGTGATTAGCCAGCCAATGAAGGGCAAGAGTGTGGTCACAGCCCCCATCATCAAAGGCAACCTTGGAGCTAAGTGAGTGCTGTCTGTAAAGGATCAAACCTCAACCCTTGTTGCAGAATAAGAAGGTGGATGACGCCTGTCATTTTCATCAGTTTCATTAGTATTTATTGAACCCCCAGTCTGTTTTAGGTGTAATGATTAAGATGCAAAAAATCTATTCTGTGTCTTGTTATATTGTAGAGTAGGGAGAAGAACAATAGAGCAGTAATGCATTGAGTGGTAGAAAACAAGGAAGAGGGTGCAGGATGCCTTTGGGGTGGGGTTGTAATCAAGGCCTCAGGTGGTTCGAGGGATCTTCTCTTTGATATCTAAGCCCTGAACCTGAGACAGTTTGGAGAGTAATGGTTTCCTATGTTCCTGATTCAGATAGGAGTAAAGAGTCTATGCTTGGTTTGGAATTTTGAAGGCATCTGTGTGATAAGGTTGTTTGGGTTGTGTGTATGTGTGGTGGGGGGTAGGGGAGGTAACAAGTGTTGCCACTGAGTCCAACTGAGGGATTCTTGCCAGGGACACACCCTTCCCAGCCATGCCTTACTGGTCAGGGTATAGACCTTAGTAGCATTTTATTCAGTACCCTGGAGGCTTCTGTTGTAGAAAGTGTAGAAGTTTAGAAGAAAGGTAGACTGGTATCAGGTTACATTTATATCCAGAATGCTGGAATTTTTACTGGGCTCCCAGTATCTGTGTTGTCCTTTGTACAGGATCTGGCCTCAGGCAGAGCCTGGGAGAGTCCTATCTTACTCCTGCTTTCCCTCCACAGCCTCAGTGGACTGGGCCGTAACATCATCCTCACGACCATGCCAGCAGGGACTAAGCTCATTGCTGGCAATAAGCCAGTGAGTTTCCTTACTGCCCAGCAGTTGCAGCAGCTTCAGCAGCAAGGTCAGGCCACACAGGTAAGGTCTATTGCAGGCTGTTGCCGTTTCAGTCTTGTCCGTTTCCTTTGCTGTTCTTAACTGATGAGCCCACTTACAATCCACTGACCAGACCTCCTCTCTTTGCATGTAGGTACGCATCCAGACTGTCCCAGCATCCCATCTTCAACAAGGCACAGCTTCAGGTTCCTCCAAAGCCGTCTCCACTGTTGTTGTGACCACAGCTCCATCTCCTAAACAGGCACCTGAACAACAGTGACTGAGAATGGTGGCTTCTATCAGAGACCAGGCCTGGTGTGTCCTGGCCAACAGGAAGGGAACAGGGAGGTTGCATCATTTCTCTGAGCTTTCCTGCTTGAGGCAGGCTGGTGGAGGGTGATTGCACCTGTGGCCTAGCTTCTGCTGCCATACTCCATAATGAAGCCCTGCAAAGGGTCCTCTCCAGGGTTCCAGGGCTGCACTGTATTAGTCCAGGAAGAGAGAATGTTAGACTCGTGGGACATCACAGGTAGTCACACAAGCCAAAGTTACCTCCTGAGAGTAGGATGCCAGGGAGAAGGCCTTGCAGAGAGGGCAGGCAGTGAGTGAGCCTTATTCTGAGTGAGGGTTGTACTTTTTAGCTTCTGATTTTCTCTGTGACTCATGGTCTGGATGTGAGTTTTGTGTCCAGAAAATTTTGTGTAACTTATTTTTTTAAAGAACTTTCTGTACATCTTTTATCAAAAAGAAACCTGGGCTTTAGTGCTCCTAAACTGATGACTTACTCTTGACCAAAAGAGGAGAGTAGTAAGACTCTTAGCAGGTTGGTGGCTGACTTGATAACTACATAGTCATCAAGAAGCTACATAATGAGGAAATGTCGGCCATGAGGGAGCATGGATCCCCTGGAGTGGGACTATTTGGCACTCCAAAGATGGGTGTCAGGATCTTGATTGCCTATACCTTCACTTGGCATTGCCCTTGACAAGCCTGTTCACATGGAAGTTGAGAGCTGGTGGGAAGAGTAGGGGATGCCAGCTGCGATGTTGCTCTTGCAGTGTGCTTGGCTGCAGCTTAGAGGTGGCACATTCTGTTTGTTGTGGAGCAGGAGTTACAAACCAGGCCCTTGGTGCTGGCCACCTAATTAGAACACAGAAGAGATGGTGGGGGTGGGAGCATGTTCAGGCTCCCCCTGGCAATGCCAGCTTCAGAAATGACTCTGGGTTTGAAGTTCTGTATTCCTCGCCATTTCACAATTTTCAGCCACCATCAACCACAGACAGAGCTCAGAATGGTATTTTTACTTAAAGCACTGGTCATTATTATATATGTCTCTTAAGGGGCAGGGGTGGGTGGGAAAGCATTTCTGCAGGGATAGGGCTCCCCTGTCTCTTCATGAAAGTATCCAAATTATTAAAAATTTATCTTTAATCTCTGGGTCTTTAATAGTTGTCTTTTATGGGGAAGCAGAGCCAGTGTTGTTTAACTGGGAGCTGGGTTGAAGGTGGGTGATTTGGCAGGTTATAGAGGAGAAGGGAAGTGTTGAGTGGTTTTAACTATACACTGGCTTTACGGTTTCATTTGATTTTTAACAGCAGTTCTATCAAGTAGGATTATCATTTGCTCTTAACTGTGAGAAGATAAAAATCTGAGTGGAAACTACTGAGGTCCAAGCTGAACACCCAGTCTTTTGGACTCCTAAGTCAAGTTCTGATGTTGGGGGTGTAGCTCTGTGGGGAGGGCTCTGCTTAGTTTATATGAGGCTCCAGCTTTGATCCCCAATACCTCCTAAAAATGAGGAGGTAGAGATACACAGGCCTGTAATGAAATCCCACCTCTTTGGAGGCAGAAACTGGAAGAGCAGAACTTCAGACTCATGCCTAGCTGACCTCACTTGTGTGGGCTGCATTAGACCCTCTCTGAGAACAAAAGAAAAGTTAGATCCTTCCTAAATCAAGTTCCCTTTGTGCTGTGCTTTTGAGGAAGGCTGGCTGGGGTGTATCATGGTGAGCCTTGGGGGCATTCAGAGTTAGGAGGTGGGAAGCCTTGTTGTCAGAGCACAGAGGTGATGGATGAGAGGAGAGCACACTTTTTTTTTTTTCAGACAGGGTCTCCCTGTAGTCCCAGTTGACCTAAAACTCAGAGATCTGTCTCCAGTGCCTCCCGAATGAATGCTAGGATTAAAGGTACGGGCTGCCACACCTGACCTGAGATTGCACTTTTGATGGATACCTAGAGGACTGGATGAGATTTAACTGGAATGGTGAGAGGTAGGGACTGCAGTGAGGGGAAATAACGCCCTGTACCTGAGTTATCCATGTTATATACATTTGCACATTATGTTTCACACAGAAAGTGATGTGCGGTTTCTAAGCAAGAAGATAGAAACTTGAGATATTCTCTCTCAGATATTTACTGTTGGTTAAAACCCCCTTCTAATTTTATAGATCTCATAAATTATATCTGGCATTCAGCCGCAGCCCTACCCAAGGCTTTTATGTGCTGAAGTTACCTGAATGCCTTTCTGCTTTGTACATGCATGTGTGTACATCCTGGAGAACAAGTATGTAAAATACATGTCTGTTTCAAGATGCCAGTATGTGGGGTTGATTCCCTGGAAAGCCCAATTTTGACACTTAGTCTGTTGGATTTCGTAATGGTTGGAAGCCTTGTTTTGGAGTTGTCCACAGCAGCAGCACCAGTGCTTTGACACATGTGCATCCCACATATGTATGCCTCAGGGGCTCTGGGCAGGCTGTGGGATAGCTATGGTAGATGTTTATAGGAATAGCTCCTGAAGAGAACAGTACTAGTACTGAGCCTCTTGAGCTTCTGCTTGACAGCAGTTGATAAAATTACCGAGACCATGCATCAAAGATAGGGTTTGATGAAAAGCATTCTGATTGACTTGTGCTTTAATGTTTATTTTCATTTTAATTTATGTGTATGTGTGTTTATGTGAGTATATGCCGTGTGGGGGGGTGCCTGTAGAGGCCAGAGTAAGGCATTGGATCCCTTACAGCTAGAGTTATAGGCGGTTGTGAGTTCCCTGACTTGGGTGCTGGGAACTGAACTCTCACCTTCTGGAAGAGCTGGGAACTGAACTCTCACCTTCTGGAAGAGCAGAGAGTACTCTCAACCTCTGAGTCATCTCTCCAGCTCCAGGGCTTATACTTTAACACCACATCACACCACATCTAAGAATGTTTTGTCAGGGTTGATTGCTTCAGTGACAGTATCCCAAACCACTATGAGAGGTACAAAAATAAATTTTAATATTTTATATTTGATCATTGTACCTCAGCTCCTCATGCAAGAACACTACATTTCTTTAAATTATTCCTGCTAGTATAAAAAGTGTTAAATGTATATCGTTTCTTGAAAGTAAATCAGAAAGTGGCTTTCTCTCTCTGCTTTCAGTCCCTGACAAAAGAACACATTTTGTATTGCTGCTAACGGGTCTTCCAGGGCATGTTGAATGAGCTGGCAAACCAAGGGGACCTGAAATGGGGACCCAGGAGTTCTTGTGTTTTCAGATCATTCTTTTTTTTTTTTTTTTAATTTAATAAACACATGATTAGAAGAAGCATTTCATTAGAGCTTTAACACAGTCAGTAACACACTCCAGAGCAAGAGTATATCTCTTTCAAAAGTGGCTATAAAATTTTTAGGGTTGCTGTTGAATTAATGCATTTATACAATATTGAACACAGTATAAGCCCTGTAAGACATGAAATTGGATGAGTTTTTAACCTTTAAAAAAGATCTCTTTCATTTTAAAATATACTGTTTCTTACAGAAAGACTCCTTGTTTTTGTTACTGAGATGTTGGTGCATGCGTCTCTAATCTGTTTGTATCTGATTATTACTGGTCATAATCAGTTGCACTCAGATCCTTGCTGCCTGCGTATGTCTATAAAATCATTGGGTAGATTTCAGTGGTAATGTTTATCACCTCTACTAATTAACATGACGTAAATTTTCATGCTTCCTCAAATATAATACTTTTTTTTTAGTTTGTTGATTTTTTTGTGTGTGTGTATGTATATCACACAGAACATCCCAAACCATCTTATTCAACTATACACCCACTTCCCAGATGGCACCCTCCCATAGCCTCCCTCCCCCCACTAGAGCCCTTATACGCTATTATCCCTGCTACTGTCCATTGTATTGTCGGAACCCCCAGCTGGTCCCCACTACTTGTCCATCTGGTGAATCTAGTCAGCATATCTAAAGGTCTTTGTTTTAGGAAGGTCAGCTGTTCCTCATCTAGCAGCAATCAGTTGTCAATATTCCTTTAGATAAGAATGGGGTCTGCTGTTCATTTTCCCAGTTTTATGCTAGGTTACAATCTGGGAGTCGCTTGGGCCACCCTGGCCAACAAGTCAAAAGAAGGTACCTCCTATCTGGCATTGTTGCTTGTTATGTAGCCTTTAGCTATGCATATGGACTCTTAAGAAATGATATTGGCCCCTTTAGTCTTTGATTACACTTTCCTTTTGGGTGTTTAAGGCCATACAGTTGGCCCAGATAAACCAATTTATTTTTACTCTTAGGACATTTGAGGATCTGTTCCTCAGGGGTCACATGGGCTTGGGAGGAGCCCCTGGCTCCTTTCTTTTACCAGTTGTGCCTATGTGAAGATAAGTCAAAGGTCCTGCTCAACCATGGCTGGCTTCTCTTGGAAGCATGGAGAAAATGATTCCTCTGTGTTGACCCTCCTCTTTGTAGACTGGACACTGGTTCAAGTCTATCTCCTGGGGTCTCCTTGGCCTCCTTGATCAAGAGGACAGGTGACCCACCACAATTACAGGACCTTTTGGGAGATGCTAATAGTCATAGTCCCCTGGAACTAGTCGACCTAGGAGGACAAGGAGCAAAAACTGTCCTTTATGTCCCTCTGACCAAATTAGTATAGGCCTCAAAGTATGTCTGTTAAACACCCACGAAGGTTGGTTCCACCAGTCTGGTACTTTGAATTACTGTGTGTCATGTAGATAAATCTTGGGGAAAGAACAATTGTTTCTCAGATAAACCTTACCTAGACATATATTTCTTGATCTGCTATGTATAATTTGTCAGTAGAATGGTTTTCCCACTTAAGGTGCCTGCACTTCCCCCCCTTTCTTCCTTACTAATACCCTTGCTCCTATGATCCTACTTCTGTTGAGCTTCTTCTTTCTCCTTATCCCCTAGGTTCCTCATATACCCTTTCCTCCCCCCTCCCTTAGACTAACCCAATTTTTATCCATATCTCACTTATTAAGGCCTTTTTCCCACTGTTCTTCTCTTTCAGGTTCTTTCTTTTCATTTATCTGCCTGGTTCATTTCCATTATCCTAGTTCCTGTAGTTAAGTCTGCATACACACTCACTTATCAGTATTTGGTTCTAGGATCCACATATGAAGGAGAACATACATTGATTTTTTTTTCTGAGTCTATGTTACTTCACTTAGTATAACAGTTTCTAGATCCATCCATTTACCTGCAAATTTCATGATTTCATCTTTCTTTACTGCTGAATAAAACTCCATCATATAAATGAACCCCATTTTCATTATCCACTAGTCCATTGAGGGACACTTAGGTTGCTTCCGTCTCTTAGCTGTTGTGAAAAGAGCAGCAACAAACATGGATGTACAAGTGTCTCTGCAATAGGATGAGTTCTTTGGGTATATGCCAAGGAGTGGTATAACTGGGTCAAATGGTAGGTTCATTTGTAGTTTTTTGAGTTTCCCCTTTCCATAGGGGTTGAACAAGTTTGCAGCCCCACCAGCAGTGGCTGAGTGTTCCCCTTTCCCCACATCCTCTCCAACATTTGGTATCATTTGTTCTCTTGATCTCAGCCAGTCTGACTGGGGTAAGATGAAATCTTAAAGTGGTTTTAATTTGCATTCCCCTAATTATTAGTGATGGCGCCCATCTCTCCAGATGCCTCATAGCCCTCATTCCTTCTTTTGAGAACTCTGTTCAGCTCCTTAGCCCGTCTTTTAATTGGGTTACTTCTTGTCTTGAGTCTCTGTTTTTTGAGTTCATTATATATTCTGGATATTAAACCTCTGTCAGATGTGTCGCTGGTGAAGATTTTCTCCCATTCTGTGGGTTTTCTCTTCACTTCCCTGGTTGCCTCCTTTGATGTACAGAAGCTTTTTAGTTTAATGAGGTCCCATTTGTTGATTCTTGACCTTGTTTCTTGAGCAATTGATGTCCGGCTTAGAAAATCCTTCTTACACCTATATCTTGTGGATTTTTGTCAATGTTTTCTTCTAACAGTTTCAGAGTTTCAGACTTTACATTGAGGTCTTTATTCCATTTGGAATTGACTTTTGTGCAAGGTGAAAGATAGGGGTTAGTTTCTTTCTTCTACAGGTGGAGATCCAGTTTTTCCAGCACCATTTGCTGAACATGCTTCCAGTGAATGTTCTTTCTTGGTCCCTTTGTCAAATATCAGGTGGCTGAAATTGTATGTACTCATATTTGGGTCTTCAGTTTTGTTCCATTGATCTGTGGGTCTATTTTTGTGCCAGTACCATGTTGTTTTTATGACTGTAGCTCTGTAATACAGCTTAAAATCTGGTATAGTAATTCCCCCAGCATTGCTCTTAATGCTCAGGATTGCTTTGCCTATCCAAGGTCTTTTGTGCTTCCATTTGAATCTTAGGATGGCTTTTTCCAAGTCTGTGAAAAATGTCATGGGGATTTTGATTGGCATTGCATTGAATCTACATATGACTCTTGGTAGGATGGTCATTTTCACAAATTAATTCTTCCAATCCATGAGCATGGCAGGTCCTTCCATCTTCTGCTGTCTTTCTCGATCTCTTTCTTTAATGATTTAAAATTTTCATTGTAGAGATCTTTGGTATCTTTCTCAGATTTATTCCAAGATATTTTATTTTTCTTTGCAGCAATTGTGAATGGGAGCATTTCCCTGTATTCTTTCTCCAATTGCTTGTTATTGGTATATAGAAAGGCTACTGGCATCTCTTAGATATAATATCATATCATCTGCAAAAAGGGATACTTTGATCTCTTCCTTGGCAATTATTACTACCTTAATTTCCTACTCTTGTCTTATTGCTCTTGCAAGAGTTTGAAGCACTATGTTAACCAGAAGTGGAGGTAGTGGACAGCCTTGTCTGGTTCCTGATTTCAATGGGAATGCTTCCAGTTTTTCTCTATTTAAAATGATGTTGGCTATGGGTTTGTTATATATGGCTTTAATTATGTTCAGGTATGTTCCCTCTAGTCCAATTCCCTCTAGGACTTTGAACATAAATGCATGTTGAATTTTGTCAATGGCCTTCTGTGCATCTATTGAGATGACCATGTGTTTCTTGTCTTTGAGCCCACCTATATGATTGATGACATTTATTGACTTACGCATATTGAACCATCCCTGCATCTCTGGGATAAAGCCGATTTGATCATGGTGGATGATCTTTTTGATATGTGTCTGTATGTGGTTTGCAAGTATCTTGTTGAGAATTTTTGCATCTATGTTCATTAAGGATATGGGTCTATAGTTTTCTTTTTTGGTTGTATCTTTACCTGGCTTTGGTATTAGAGTGATGCTGGCTTCATAGAAGGAATTTGGAAGTTCTCCCTCCATTTCTATCTTTTAGTATTGGATGTAGATCTTCTTTAAATGTCTGGTAGAATTCTGCTGTAAATCCATCTGGCCCTGGCCTTATTTTAGTCGGGAGGTTTTGTATCACTGTTTCAATTTCTTGGGATTCTTCTACTCCCTGTATGCCTATGATTTGTAAGTTTGGTCTTTTTATGGTGTCACATAGTTCCTACATACTTCATTCTTGTGCTTTCTTAAATTTATCATAATCTTTGCTCGAGTGGTCATGTTCGTCCACTTTATCTTCTAGTCTTGATCCTCTGTTTTCCATTTCATTCATCCTGTTGGTGAGGCTTTCTCCTGTCGTTTCTAATTGGCTTACTGAGTGTTTCACTTCCTTCTTCATTTCAGCCCGAGTAGTCTTCAATATTTCTAGCTCTTTTTGAATTCATTAGAAGTTCATCCCTGTCTTCCTTCAGTTCTTTGTTTGTGTGTTCTTTAAATTCAGTGAATTCTTTTATCATGTTTATAATTGTTCTTTTGAGTTCCATGTCCTGCATTATCTCTAGGGGGTTCTCATTGTACTCCTCTAGAGGACTTTTGGTATTTGGTGGGGATATCTTATTTTGGTTTTTCATGTTACTATTTTTTCTCTGTGATTTTGACATGTGAATTTCTTTTGTAGTTTCTGATTCTTGTGTGAGACTCAAGCCTTCAAGTTTAGGTCTTCTTTTTCTGAACTTTATGTGTGTTTGTGGTTTACTTTTTGGGTATGAAAAGCTGGTTCGTCTAAGCTTCCAGTTTCTCTTTTGATTTGATATTGGAGTGGCCAGATTTCTTTTGTCTTCTGGAGTTCCCACAGGGACCCAAGTCAGATGAGGATCATATGCTCTCAGTCTTTCTCCTAAGGTCGGGATCCTTCCAGGAAAGATTTTGGCCTCAGGTATTTGGGGGTTTGACTGGCCTGGGAACAGGGCTCAGGAAAGGTTCTGGTCTTGGACAGCTGGTGGTGGTGCCACCCAGAGATGCAAAGGGAGATGGTGGCAGGAAGATGCCCCAAGGGCTCCTGGAGACTGCACTGAGGAACTGGGTTGGTTTGGATGCAAAGGATTAGGAAGCCAAAATGTCAGCCCTGACATCCAGGAAAGAGGCTGGAGGTTTGTGCAGCCCAAGGCAGCAGAGGGTGGTGAGGGCAGGACCAGGCCCAAAGTGCTCCTGGGGACCATGAGAAGGAACTGGGTTGGTCTGGATTCAAAGGATCAGGAAGCAGTGGTGGTTCCCCGGTTTCTGGGTGCCAAGACAAGAAACAGGACAGGACCCAGGCTGAGAAGAGAGACGGGCGGGGGAGATGGGAGTGTGAATGAGGCTGGGGGAGTCAAGGCATGGATGGCAGAATCTTCTTACCGTGGAAAGAGAGGCTGGCGGCGGGTCGTGCGGGTCCAGTGAAGCAGAGGGAGGTGAGGGCGGGACCAGGCCCAGATGGCTCCCTGGGACCTGGAGAAGGAACTGAGTCTGTCCAGATGCAAGGGATCAGGAAGCAGTGGTGGCCCTGGGCCTAGAGGTCAGCCCAGGCATCCTGGAAAGAGGCCGGCGGTCATGCAGCCCAGGGAAGTAGAGTGCTCAGATCATTCTCAATCCCTTCATGTGACTTCAACTCTGTAAAACCAGCTAACCTTTCATATAAGTTCAGTGTTTTTTTCCCAATGAGCATGCAGAACTTACTGTAGTTCCTCTGCTGGATGTTTGTGAAGGAGCAGGATATGGGAAATTAACCAGACTTTCAAGTCACAGTGGAGAGATGGGCTCTGTCACTTGGTAGCTGTGTGACATTTTGCTAACCAACCTCAGAATGACCTTACACACTTGATAGGAGATTGTGATAATCATTTGAGATAGAGTGCATCTCAGGATGGTGGAATGCTGTACAACTGAAATGTTTTACATAGTCTCAAAGACTCCTCAACTTCAGATAGCATAGAAAGCCCTTTACACACAGGAACTAACATGTGTGTTTAGTTCTCCATGTTCTTTCCTGTGTTGCTTTTGTGCATACTGTTCTCTAAAGGGCTAACTCCCCATTTCCATTCTGCTCCCTCCTCGTGGTTGGCATGTCATACAGCACCCACCACACTGCCTGTGGCATCTCATACAGTGCTCTGTAACATTACACTGTCAGCTACTTGATGGACATCTCATTAATCCTTGCAAACATTTCAGTACTAGAACAAAGTGAATTTTTAATAAATACTTGTTGAGGAAAGTTAAAAAATAAACACAAAATCCCCCACAAAATATCCATAATTAACAGTCAGTATCACGTCTCAATATTACTAATTCAAAATCTATGTCCTTTGCCCTCAGCTATATTAAAATTCAAGGCCTTCCATAATCTATTTTTCTCTGTGTCTTATTATACAGACTCTGTATGATGATCCCTCGGCAGGATAATTTTGAGGAATCAGCATGCCAAGTTCTGATTCTTAGCTGCACTGTGAACTAGGTATCTGCTTTAAGAAAATTACCTTTCACCTAATTCTGGTCTGATTAGTTAGAGGATATTTCAGGTTAACATTTAAAATGTCAAAACTTATGAGTTGTTTTGTTATTTAAAAAATATGTAAGTTAGAGTTGTGGCTCTGAATTGAGGGCAGGGCACTCGCTAAGTCCTGATAACCTTTCTGAGAAGAAAGTATGTGTTTGCTTTGAGAGAAAAGGGCAAGTATCAGAAGCAGCACGACGTCCCCTCAGATTCTAGTTTGCTTCATCCATGTTGTCACTTCCTGTTCTAGGCTTTCAGACTCTAACTGATTCCCTACAAGGATGGTGTCCATTTTCTGTATGAATGCCATTATTCTAATAACACAGCATGATACACAAAACACCCGAGATCTAATTTCCTGTATTCAAGCCTCCAGCTTTGTATTAGGTGAGTGCAAACATAAGGAACCCTAGGAGCACTCTAAGGCGAGCCTTCAAGTGGGGGGGACAAACTACATTGATTCCAGCCGTTGTGGCCCAAAAGACATGAATTTTTCCACCATGGCTTGATGTTACTCTTCATCTGAGCCACTCAAAAGGGCTGACTGGTAAGTGGGATCAGACTTGAGCTTCTGAATCCCTATGATTTCTCCTCCTGCATGCCTCTTCACCCGAGTCAGAAAACTGTAATAGACAAATCAGAAGAACCATTAGATAAGCCACAGAAGTCCTTTGTTTTCTCACCCAAGGATATGAAAGAATCTCAGAGCCTTTTCTTCAGCTCCATTAAACATGGTGGTAACGTATCTATACATCTTTCTCATTATTGTAGTCACAGTAGAGAGAAGGACTCATGGTGACCAAAATGTTGTTATTGAGACAAAATTTAGGTCTCTTACCATCCAGCCATTTTGCTGACCAGAAAGGAAAGCTGGAGGAAACTCCCTTTTGTTTGGTCACATGGGACTTTTCCTGGGTGAAGTATACCTGCTTTGGGTCTAGGAAAATAAGGAGCTAGAAAAACAAGGCAAGGGCAGCTCTCACAGCAGTAGACCTTGTCACATGCTAAAAGTCAGCCTTGTTTGCTATTTATTAGTATGCCAAGTTGCTTGGCCTTTTAAAACCTTGATTTCCCCATTTGTAAAAAATGAACAGTATATAAAATAGTGGTGAGGATTAAGTGGGTCAATATTTCTTAAGTGGTGCCTGGGAACACAGTAAGTGCAGGGAGTTAATAGTTCTTGTAGCTTATATGCCACTGAAAGGCATTTAGTGGTTTCTGCTCTGGTGTATATTTTGATGTCCACATATCTAGGAAGTAAGCAAAACAAGTCTGGAAATAGGTGATGGGTGCAGGCCACCAGTGAGAGCAGAGAGTCCAGCCCAGACTGATTCCTGGTTTGGAGATTTCTCTTATCATGCAGCAACTTAAAGTCTGTTAGAACTGCATTTGAAACCTGGGTTGATGGTGATCCAGTCAGTTTATTTGGCTTAGCCAAAGACATTGGCAAATAGGAGTTGTGATAACTGCTCTGCAAAAGAATAGTGCCTTGTGTGGGGTTTGGCATGAAATTAGCATTCACTAAGTAGCAGAAGCTAACCACTAATGCTTAGGGGCGAGTTAGGGAGAAAAAAAAAAGTTAGTTACTTTCAAACTTACCAGTAAACAAGAAAGTAGTTGATGCCTGTAATGCAAAGGGCAACCAGATAATGCCAGCAGAAACACATGGTAATGAACATGATGTTGTCCATGTCTTTCTGGTCCCATTCAGGTGTTCCAAAAGGAGGGAACAACACAAACCCAATCTGGAGGAGTAGAGGAGAAATTGGTTGGTTGTCCTGAGAAGCAACCCAGCCTTCTTCCTTGGCTGCCAGAGTGGCTTATGTGTAACCCCATGTGTAACCCCAACTCCTCACAGTTCCCACACTAGAGTTAGCATAGAAAGCCCTTTTCACTAGGAAAATGTCTGATTTTAGTAGAGGCTGATTTTAAAATAGCAAAACTTTAAGGCCTGTGTGTGTCGTTCAGCAAATGGGGCCTGTGCAAGGTACCAATGAGTGTACCAGTAGGCAGTTAATGGAGAAAACCCCTTAGACCAAGGGGTAGGTGTGGGGAGAAAATGGCCATCTAAACCCATCTCCATGGTTTTTCAGACAACAGGTCACCTTCATGACTTCTCTTAAGGGAGCTTCTCAACCCCGACCATGTGAGGAGCGTGAATGTGAATAATCACCTGCCAGAACCAGGTTCCCTGAAGAATAAGGAGACTGGTTCGGAAAAGTTCCAGCACGATATTGTCCCGAAAGATCACCTCTAGGGAGATACTGATACTCCCTCCAAACAAAGCGAACAGCAGTAGTGAGTGAATGTGTTGGTCCAGAGGGGGTCGGTTGTGAACGTGGTAGTAGAAGAGAAAACCTGCCACAAACCAATGACAGCTGTCAGAACCTCTTTTCTATTTGAGGGGATTCACATTGGGTTTTCCCAATTATTGGAAAATTTTCCTACACTTGTCTCAAAGCTGAATTGTTCAGCATACGGGAAGCCAGTTTCCATGACATTACAGAGCAGCAAACACACGGATTGTTCATTTGGTGGGTCTGTCGATAGTATCAAAGAATATATCTTAGTGCAGGCACGACAGTAGGGTTCCATGCAGGATGGATAGAGTAGGTCCATCATGGTTTTGATTTGTAAGATGTTGCATGTACATGTACTTGAAATTCAGTTTTGCCCTTGTTTAACTTTTTTCAGTTCTTGGTCGAGTTACAGAAGTAGGTGAAGCTGTTGGATTAAAAAATGTCTTTTGCCAGGCGTGGTGGCACACACCTTTCATCCCAGCATTCAGGATGCAGAGGCACGCAGATCTCTATTCAAGGCCAGCCTGATCTACGTAGTGGGTTCCAAGCCAGCTGGGGCTACGGGGAGACCCTGTCTCCAAAACAAACAAACAAAAAAGACCAAAAAAAAAAAACAAAAAAAAAAAAAAAAAAAAACCAAAAAAAAAAAACAAAAAAAAAAACCCCACATTCTTTCTCTGCCTTAAATAAAGTGATTTGAATGAGAAATGTTTCCTACGGACACAAGCATTTGAACACTTGGTCAGTTGGTGGTACTGCTTGGGGGAAGGTGATGGAATCTTTAGAAGGTGTGACCTTGCTGGAGGAAGCACATCACTGGGGGCAGACTTTGAGAGTTCATAACCGTGTCCTGCTTCCAGTTTGCCCCTCTGCTTCTTGTGTGTGCTTTAAATGTGAACTATCAGCTTTCTGCTCCAGTTGCCTCCTGCCATGCCTCCCTACCATGATGGACTTTCCCTCTGGAACTGGCAATAAACTTCTCTATAAGATGCCTTGGACATGGAGTTTATCCTAGTTACCTTTCTTTTGCTGCTACAAAAAACTACCCCAAGACAATGTGGGGAGGAAAGGTTTATTTGGTTTACATGTCTTGATCATAGTCTGTATTTGAGGTATGTCAATAAGGAACTCAGGGCAGGAACCTGAAGGTGGGAGCTAAAGCAGAGACCATGGAGGAATGCTGCTTACTGGCTTGTCTTACTGGTTTGTTCAACTACTTTATAAAGCCCAGGCCCACCTGCCTAGGGATGGCACCACCCATAGTGGGCTAGACCCTCCTACATCATTCAGCAATTGAGAAAATGCTTCATAGACATGGCCACAGGCAGTTCTCTTGGAAGCAGTTCCTCAGTTGATGTTCCCGTTTCTAGGTGTGTCAAATTGACAACTGAAGCTTAACCAGGACAGTGTTTTTATCATAAGCAACAGAAAGCAATACACTCACCTAGTAGGTGAGTATTGTTTATATGAGTATCTATGCATAAATACAACCACAGTGGTAGTATTGGGAGGTTCTGTGCACCAAAGGAAGAGCCTATTGGGAGGTCTCTAGGTCACTGGGGGTATGTCCTGATAGAAGATTGGGAGATCCCTATCTCATTCTCTGTTCCTGGTTCAAAATGTGACTGTTATCTCCAACATGTAGAAGTTAAACCTATGGGGCCACCCAATCTTGGACTTGAATCTCAAAATAAACCTCTTTCATACATAGCATTATATGGATGGAAATCTGACTGGTTTAGTGCTTCTGAGATTTGTAATGGGGCTAAAGGGTCACAACCCAGGGAATGTTCTAGGGTGAGATGCAGAGTTCCGTTTCCTAACTGAAAGGATTTGACTCCCTGCACAGTAGCATTCAATAGTCTAGGATATTTTGTCTGTATGAGTGTATTTGCACACATGCTACAGGTGGAACATGCCATCTGTACCATCCAGAGCATAGAACCCAGGCCTATTCAGGGTTTGGAAGACTTAAGAGTTGGTTTTCTAAGGAAGGTCAATATAGTTAATATTTTTCCTTTACATTTTTATCTCATAAATTCAACTTGTCCATCTTTCCTTTCTCCATCCAAGTTACCTTCACTGAATACTGCCATAGCCAAAACCACTCTGTCTAGCCCCAAGGGCACAATGTTGAAGTAAAGGTAGGTGAGCATGTCGACGATTCCTGAGACACCAAAGAAGAGGTACATGGTGCTGTGCTGCCAGTTCATGAGCTTCATCCAATGGTTTTCATTGTAGAGGTGGAGGTGGGGCCCATCTGGAACAAACTGTTCTGCCAGGATCCCTGCCAGGAAGCAAAAGTGGAAACTGAGAAGAAAAAGTAGCTTGGAGACAAATGTGAGCTAGAAAAATAGCCTGAAGGTGTGAGCCGGGTCCAGATGTGGGTAATGGTGGCCAACAGCTCAGAAGGCTGGCTTCACTACCGTGGCATAGGTAACTAACGTACAAAGGAAGGTTTTGCTGAGAAGTCTGTGGAGATAACCTGGCCCCAGATGTTCCTTCAGTGGCTGGGATGGGGAAGAAGCAGTGATAGAAATAGCACATGCTGGTCTCCAGGGAATCTGCCTCACAGCAGAGACAGTACACCATTGCCTCTTAGATGATAGTGAGGCTGAGACACAGCCATCAAGTGAGCAGTGCAGACCCCAGAGAGAATGAGGCAGAGGCCACAGTGATGACCCTGTGCAGGCCTGAGGGCAGGGAGTTGGAGCTGGTTTTGAGTAAGTACCCTTCCTCAGCATAGCCCTTTGTTTAAAACACTGGTGAACAAGATGAAGGCTGCGCTGCTGCTGGCCAAGGAGAAGCCAGATTGAAGCGGTGTGTGTCAGAAGCACACACTTTGTGTCATGTCCGTTTTTTGTTTTGTTTGGCTTTTCTTTTTTTAGATCATGTCACTTATATAGCCCTGGCTAGCCTTGAACTTGCCATCCTCCTGCCTCCCAAGGATTATAAATCTGTATCATCACTCTGGGCTTTTGTTCCTTTTACTTTTATCACTATGGGAAGGCAGGTTTGCCTTGAGAAGGCCTTGTGCCTAAAATGTTTTGGGGAAGCCTGCAAGTCCTCCATGACAACTTTCTGCATCCTGTTCTCCAACATTCAAATTTGAATTCACATATATGTGGGATGATAAAGGGTGGGGAGGTTTGTGAAATGACCCAGGAAAAGGCCAGTGACACTAAAATGGAAGGCCTGTGGAGAAGGGACTGTGTGGTCCCCACTGTATTCCCAGTACTTAGAACATGGAGTCCCTGGCCTCTGGTACAAGCACAAAAGAGATTGAACAAGTAGCACTTTCTTCCAGCTAAAATGCCAAATAAAATTTAGCTTTATAGAAAGGCCATGTTGATGCTGTTGTTACCACTAAGTCATATGTCTCTTTTGCTCATTAGCTCCAGAAAACATTTTGTTGGAAAATGGCAGGCCAAAGAAAACTAGTAGAATGCCATTGAGAATAAGATGTCTTGCTACTCTTGGGTGGGTGCGGTCCTGAGGAAGAGCACTCATCACTGTTGCCACTGCTGATTCCTCAAGAGCCATCAGTGGAAGGAACTGGTGAGGAATAGGAGTCGGGTGGGGTTGTCAGGATGAGGCAGAGTAAACCCAGCACAGCCCTCTGAGGGACACCCCTCATGGCAGGTAGGTGCTGAGACCTGAGGATGGAGGCTATGCCAGTGAATTTGGTGTTGATCATTCTGAGATTCTAGGCTAGAAAGAGACTATTGGGGGAGAAGATGATTTTCTTAAACCCTATTTAGTACTTTTAATTGCTGTTCATGAGCCTACTTTTAAAATTTGTTCCCCTTTTTTCCTATTTTTACTTGCATTTTCTCTTTTTTGCCCGAGTTCTTTTCCTACAAATTCTTTCAGGGCAAAAACTATTTTATTTGGTAATTTTCATAGTATACATAATATAAGGTTCTATTAACTGTTAACATAGTTAACATAGTTGAACACAAAGATCTGGATATTAAAATAGCCTCGTAGCCACCTAAAAATCTTGTCCTATCTCTGCCAATGAGACATCTATTCCATGGGATCCAGGAAGTAGATGGAAGGTTCTGGGTGTGAAGGGGAGAATCCATGGGCCAAGTGACTTCTGTTCTTACCAATGATCGCAAATGCAGTCTTGATTGCGCCCTCAGTGATCTCAATGCGCTGTTGCTGCTGACTGAGTCTGTTCTTCTTCAGTTCCTTTTGGTGAAAGTACTTGAGTGGGTACTTCACTGACCACCACAGGCCAAATATCAGGAAGAAACTCCCTGGGAGAGCGTGGCCCTTGAAGTTTGCCATCAGTGTTCTAGGACACCTGAAAAATTGGGGACAACTATTAGGTGATTAAATGAAGACATAAAAACACATATTCACACATGCCCGTGTGTGTGTGTGTGTGTGTGTGTGTGTTGTGTGTGTGTGTGTGTGTGTTGTGTGTGTGTGTGTGTGTGTGTGTGTGGTACATGCATGTGAATGCCAGAAGAGACCCTCAAGCATTGCTTCTCAGGAATACTATTCACCTTACTTTGAGACAGGGCCTCTCATTGTCCTGGAGCCCACTAGACATGCTAGGCTGGCAGGCCAGTGAGCTATAGGGATCTACCTGTCTCTGCCTCCTTAGTGCTGTGATGGCAAGTATGCACCAACACACCCAGCATCTTTACTTGGGGACTGAACTCAGGTCCCAAGTTCTGACCGAGATCTCTCTCCAGCCCTGTAAATATATACATTGAGTCGGGCATGGTGGTATATTCCACACCTATAATCCCTATAAGTACTCTTGGAAGGTGGAGGCAGGGGGATCAGGAGTTCAAGGTTATCCTTGGCTACACAGGGAATTAGTTCAAGGCTAGCCTGGACTAAATGAGACCCTGCCTCAGAAAACAAAAACACCAAATGTATTTTGGCAAGAAGAAAAATGGATTCTAAATCACAAGTCATACAAGAAGGATTAACTCATTTTCTTTATTATTTTTATTTTATGTGTATGAGTGTATTGCCTGCATGTATGTAAGTGCACCGGTGTCATGCAATGCCCACGGAGGACAGAAGAGGCTGTTGGATCCCCTGGAACTGGAGTTACGGACAGTTGTTAGCTGCCATGTGGACGCTGAGATTCGAACGTGGGTCTTCTGCAAGAACAGTCAGTGTTCTTAACCGCTGAGCCATTTCCCCAGCCCCCAGGATTAACTCATTTTCATTAAACAGCCTTTATGTCACTATGGTCTTGTCTATCAAGTGAGTTACAGGATGGAGGATGGAGGGACTATTACTGGCCCTGATACTTTGTAACATAAAGGAACTGGTTGAGGGAAGTGGAGGATAGATGAGTATCCATTGAGTTCAGTGTGGAGAAACTTTCCTAAGCATAGATAGAAAGGATGGAATTAGAAAAGAGAAATTCTACTTAAGCATTTTTTTTATTCTTAAATATTAATTCTTTTATTTTTGTGGCATAGATTTCTCATTGTGGAACATGCTGCATGCATATTATTTTTTTTTCATTTAAAA